GTAACAACACAAGTTTTAAGATTAATCAGTCTGGAAGTAAAGATTGGTTGGAAGTGTTGCCAGCAGAACAAACACTTATGTGGTGGTCTGAAGTAGTGCTAAAACCAAGGGGCATGCTAGTGTAATAGTAAAGCACAAAGATTTTTTTCAATATGGTGTGCACATACCTTGACATTGTTCAATGGCTCAGTATTTTCTTAAAATCAGCAAAATAACGTGGAGTAAACGTAGAAATCTGCTACAGTGTAGCCTAGCTTCTGTGACCAACATCTCTGGTGGCTAATATACTAACTATTGACCTCATACAACTCCACTTAAAACATACCAAACTAAAAATAATAATTTTGCAGTAAAAGTTTCACTAAGTGATGTTCTCAGAAAACAGAAACCATCATGAAACTCCAACCAGTAGAAAGCCTGCATTAACCACACACTGTTGTTGTTTTTCTAAGAATGAAATTCTGCTCTTCTTTTCTGCTCTAAAACAGTATTGGTGGCAGCAATAATACATCCATTGTGGCAGTACAGCACAGCTTCCTGTGAAGGGTTCCGTTTTGAAACTAAATCTGTTCAAATATGAAATGGGGTTTAGGATATTAGTTGTTGTTTCACACCAGTGACAGCATACTTGCCAATAATTGGTTTTTGATCTATCTGTGATATTTATAACACTGGTATCTGCATCAGAACAACTTTACTGATATACAGTCAGCATGTCTTTCCTTCTCCCTGCATCTCCTCCTATCCCATTTGTCAAGCCCAGTGCATTTTGGACAGGCTGTTCGTCATGGGCCAGTTTTGCCCAAGATTTCTGCCTCTTAAAAGAACTTTATTTTGCCACTGTAACTTTGCTAAATGTTGCTTTGTGCTCATTATGGATTAACATTGGGTCTTTATAGATAATATAGCAATGAGTAAGGTCTTTAAAGTGCTTTTTGGTAAGTGTATTGAGATCACATTTGTTATGAATTGGGGCTATACAAATGAAGATTGATTGATTGATGTCAGTAAAAAATTATACACTGAAATACATACAGGTTTACAACAAAATATAGAACATGAATGGAGAATTGAACTTAGACATGTTGTGGCTGCAGCAGTTAATGTCCCCATTTCCCCAGGATCTTATAAAGACTGAACATCTTCTGTTCAGCTCACCTGCCCCTCCAGTGTCGGGCACCTGGGGTATTGAATTTCACTGAGAGCCGGGTCCTTAATGAGAAGCAGAACGACACCTTCATGTTATAGCTTATGCCCTACCTCTCTCCAATTCTATGACTTGCTTTAATAAATTACTGTCCAATAAGAACTTTTATGATCTTGGCATATGTTGCCTTTTATAGGTGAAAATAATTGCGTTCCCAGATCACCCTGGCCGTTCTGAACATGAGAATGAGACTAGCGGAGCCTACAAAATGAGATAGTTTCACAGTGTCTGCACAAGTCCTTCTCATTCGGGTGGTTACACCTCCTCCCGCCTCCGCCTTACTCAGTTTCCTGGTATACCTTCACAAGCAACCCCCCTTCTTCCTCCTCTTTGCCACTCTTAACTCCACTCATGCCTAGAGAGGCCTGTGCTTGCATGCCAACAGGCACTCTTAAACCCACAACCCCATCCCCCATTCGACTTCACACGCTCACCCCCGTACACACACATACACAGAGTCTTGTTTTTGAGTTCCCACTGAAGTGTGACAGAAGCCACTTGACAGGTGACACACACACTTGATGTTATCGGGTCAGGGCCAGAGATTCAGCCTCCTGAGTGATGAGAGACTGTCACCCGCATTGTTTATCTACGCTACACGAGGGGAGAGAGAGGAGAGAGAGAAAGAGAAAGAGCGAGAGCTTCTTTCTTTCTTTGCCATACATCACTCAAGGGGAGAAGGAGAGAAGAAAAGAGGGACCCCTTCTCCCCTCAGACGACAGTGTCAACATGTGGAAACATATCCAGCCACAACCAGCGACTTAAAACAACTTTTTGATGTTGAAGACGGGAAAGATTTTCCTGTTTTACTTGATGATATTGCTCCCTGCTAAAAGAACTCTTTTGTGCTTCAAACAGAAGTGCTCTTCAATCATTTAGAGAAATGTGCTGGTGTCGCCCCACAAATTGATGCGGCTTTGTTATCGGCATTGTCAATTGATTACACCTAGGGCCATAATGAAATAACTAATTGAATGTGTCCTCTTGTAAACAATTTGCTGGAACGTACAGAACACAAACGGCCACGACGTGCCTCCCTCTTAGAGACTGTGAGCCGCTTTTAATTAATTGAAAACCCGCTCTGATAACCTTCAGACAATTATAGCCTGAGAGTCGGATTATTGACAAGCCAGGGAATACTGCAACAAATATCACAAGAATCAATATCTGACAGATAATCTTCAGTTATGTTTTTATATTTAAATTTAATAACCAAGGAAAGTGTGTTTGTGAAGTGAAACATAACCCAACATCTCAATCTCTCTTGGAACCAGGGCTCGAAGGTCATCGTCTCTTAGGCCGGAATTTCTTTGGATTTCATCAAGGACATGGTGAATTAAAAGACCAAACACTTACATCTCTTTGTAGTAGAGAGCTCTAAACCAGAACAACGAAGGACTCTAAAAGCCCTTTAGAGCTTCATTCATTCATTCAAATGCTCTTTTTCTCTGTCTTCATTTGTGTTCTCTTTCACATCTGTAACATATCCAGATGTTTTGGACTCAAAGGCACAGTCCAGAAAACGACACCACAACGTTTCTTGTTACAATAATTATTTATTAAATTTAAAATATCTTTAGCACAGGTTAAAAATTAGACACTTCCATCTACCATGAGCGCCTTGGGATTGAACATGGTTCTAACATGGTTGAAAATAAACACTCTTAGAAACCCAAGAAGATTTCTCCCCACTTCCTCCTGTTGCTGTTCTTCATTAAATGTCACAATAGAGTTGTTAGGGCAGAGGCAAATTTGGCATATAGACAATCATCATATTCACTGGACATATAGTATAAGAAAAAACTGACAAGGATTTTCAAAATGCCTTTCCCTTGCAAATCATGATTTGGAGAATTTGGAATGAATCAAATTATCTTCTTTTTTTGTACCAGCTGCTTAGGTCGTTTAATGGTTTTGTGTTCATAAATAGGTATGCCATTTCAAAATATCGGCACATTTAAAGCTGGTGATTTGTCATTTGGTGTGATAACTCAAGAGTGGCAGCCCAGTTTCTACTGCTTTTAAGCAATGGTTTTGCCGTGGCATTTTATTGGCTGTGTTAGACACTAAGGATATGTAATTAATTATTGAATGTTTGCAAGTGAGCGTGCATTGAAAATAAGACGAAAAAAAACAAACTACAAAGAGTCTGGCCATGCTGCCATTATTCCCCTCTTTTTCTTCTTCTTCCCAAACCCCGCTCTTCCACAAACCAGAGATTCATGGTCCTTTTTTTGCCTCAACCCTACCTTATGAAACATAAAAAAGATAACAGGTAACATGAGCAGAGCACTGTAGTAAATGGCAGGCCAATGCATTAGTTATCAGTAAGAAAACATTAACAGCAAAGACATATATTTTCCAATTTTGAAGTCGTTTACAAACCATATCCGTGTTCACAATTTATTACGTTTTTCTATGTTTGAGTTTTCTTTTCTGTCATTACATGCCATATGAGAAGTCTGGATTACAAAAGTACCTGAACAAATTGCTTGTATATTAGCATGCATAGCTGTTTGGTATTTACATCCTATTTACAGTGTTGAGCTAAGAAGAGAGGGGATCTACAATAGGTTTTCTTTCATGTGGTTCATTTACATTTCTCAGATGGAGAACAAAAAGCAGCCTCGTACGGAGAGTACACAGGACATGCACAGAAACCAGAATATTTGCTTGACTCAACAAACCGTGTTGTTTTTATTCCCGTACAGTGAAAAAAGGAAGCTCTGAATTCTGTAACAAGCTACATCTCTGACCAGGGCTACTGCATTGCATAACATAGATCTATTTTCTCCCCCATTTTTGTCTGTATCGCACAGCAGTCTCTGAGCACAGGGGGCTAAGAAAGGTTAATTTACGATGTTAACCGTGCCGTGAAGGGAAAAGCAAATAGGAAAGAGCATGCACAGCACCAGAGAAGGACATTAAGCTGCGGCCACATCTTTCTCTTTCTCCCTCCCTCTATCTGTCCAGTGACAACAGTAGGGCCCCCTGATGTGTACCGAGACACAGAGCTATCACCATCCATCATTGCAGACATACTGAGAGGATCTTTCAGCAGTGATCAGGCTGTAAACAGGCGCACACCATTGACACCTCAGTATTTATTTGTTTATCCTAGTGTTGTTCATAGCCACAGGAAAATGCCCCTATCAATGTAACACATGTGCAAGGACATAAAAAAAAAGACATGATTGTGGACAGTTCAGTTAATAGGATCAGGGTAGCACAAAGGAAAAGACATCAAATGAAAATTCTGATAACTACAGTATACATTAAAGCTATTGGAAATTACTCCACAATGTAACATTGAGTCACATTTCTATGCAAAATGTACTTTTTTGTTTCTTTTGGTGGTGCGAGTTGTCGGATGAAATGAAGCTGGAACATGTTGACCAAGTGATGGATCATATAATTTAGTACCCAATCATTCTTACAATCGATGGATGTGTTTGGTGTTTAGTCCATAAAGGGTCTCGAGGTTTAAACTGTTTGACAAAAGAATCAAATGGAAGACGAGCTCTGGAAAAAAGGAGACTTTTTTAGCAACTTACTGCTATTTTTCTCTCTTCAAGATCGATCTATTAGTTATTAAAAAAACACTATTGTTAGATGAAGTATGTACAAAAATAACCATTACAGCTCTAGGACTAATAGAAGACTTGGATATATATTTAGACTGCAGGCAATATTTGTAATCCAGGGGGCAGTAACCTGCTCATGGGGCGGTGCAGTCATTAAAGATATTGCTTATTTAGTGAGAAGAACATCAGTGCAACACTGTCAGTTCTTGCCCACTACTACAGGTCCTGTGTCCACCTCCTGCTCAATTATACTCAACCTCTAATAAAGGCAATCAGCAGCCCCCTGTCCTCACCGGGGGTCCATAAACACTTGATTTCACAACACTGCCTTTGATAAAGGAGGGAGGTGACTGCAGGAGCATGTTAATGTGCTTTCCCATAAAGCTTATCTCTGACTGGGGTCATGGAGGCCAAGTGGCAGGGGGCTGATCGCCATAGCAATAAGACCCCAGAAGCTGTTACTGCAGCTTACGACCCCTCTGACAATAACAGAGCCAACCAAGGGCTACCTTTGGATAATCAAACCCTTGGTCCAGGCCCATGTGGGAAATAATGTGGACATTTACTGCAGTACAATTGAAATGAGGGGCGAGCGCGAATTAACCTTTGGTAGCAGAGCAGGGGCTCATTGTGATAGGAACCATAAATTTTTTAATTGTCCACCAGCAGCAGTATTTTAAACGCATGTAAATACAAAATCATGAGCTGACCCACACCATTGGGACACGGCTACTGTTTGAACAAAGTTGAAACAAAGTCACTTCGCAAGATAAATTCAAAAATGTCCCTTCACAGTTCAAAGGCAGCACATTTTGTGAAACATATTTTTAGGATATCCATTGTTTTTCCTGTTTGTACACTGAGCTGCATAATTATGTTTCTTCTGCGTTTGTCAGGTATATGTGATGATACTGTATAATTCCGTGGACCAAAGACGGGAGCTTTGAAGAACACTTTGATAGCATATGGTTATCCCCCCGCTGTGTCACACTCACTGCTCCGTAGGGGGCCCAGAAGGGACATATGCGTAACTTTCTGGACTCTCCAAACTTTTCACTCCTTGAAAAAACTGAAGGATTACACCCTGTTCACAGCAGGGGGAACAGCATGCATCCTAGCATCTCCCCTTGAGCCATCTTTAATCTTTATTCTACATCCTAAAGACAATGTGCCAGCCAAACAAAACCAGGCTGATAAGGCAGAGTAAGGTTATATCAAAACAACTTCCTGTGCACCTGACCCTGAATGAACATGCACAGCCTTTACAGGATCACAATCAGCTAAAAAAACAGGCAGTTCTAAGTTTTTCTTATCCATTAGCTTCATCAATTGTGTTTCAAAGCAGGCAAATTGGAATCCAGTTAAGCTGTTTTTCCTGCAGTTAATTTTCTCTCTTCTGGCTCAGGTGCAAGGGACTAAATCAAGCTGTCAGAAAGCAGACTGCACAGCTAAACGGTGCAGGCTGAAATGCCACCTGTCCGCAGCTTCTGGCGATTTATTACTTCACTGTTTATTTATTTCCTTAGTGGCAACTTGGGTATTTGTCCCAACTCCCTACTGCTTATGACAAACTGAGCCTGTGTGTGTTTTGATGCATTCAAATACAACAAGGGTTTTGGCAATTTCCCCACAGATCATTGTTGCTAAAAGCATTTGTTTTCCTCCATTACCTAATCAGAAGCTAAAGATTTGGTTTACTGCGTTTATCAATGCTATTACACCGAGGTCGGCCCCAAGCATTTACTTAAATTGAGGCATATTGGTTAATCCGATTGACTCCGACCCCCAAATCTTCTTGGGTGCCCATCTCATCTCAGCGAGGGGGTTGATGGCAAACAGATCTCCAGCTTATGCACGGGGCAGAATGAGGTGGGAGTAAGGGCTTTAAAGGTCCATTATACAGCCCTGTCATTAGGTGCGTGACATAAGGAGGTCTGCTCCGTCTTTGCTGCTGTCTTGCTATTAAAAGAGCCTTCATCCACTGTATTAACTCCAAATCTATGCTGCCTTTGATGCTACATTTAAGCCTTTTACCAAGTTAATTGTAAGCCAAAATACCTAAACAAGCAAAGTATTTTGTGTTCAAGTTATGACGATGTTGATTTTTCAAGAGTCTGGAGTCTGCCTGGGGGTCAGGATTAGAGCGGAGCAGTTGACATGGACTGCCTCACTGTAATCCTTCCACCTTTGACCCTCCTCCCACCACCCCAACCATGTCAGACTGGAGGTCACTGTTAATCATGACACCCCACCAGACACACACATAGACAGTGTTTATGTCTGTTAGAGAGAGAGAGAGAGAGACAGAGGGGAAAAAAAACATAGATTTGTGTATGTCGAAGAAGCTGCTGGGATTTCCCACTGTGTATTCCCACTTACATTTGTACTGAACATTATCCTCTGATGTTCTTAAAAAGGAGGCACAGAAACTTTAATACAACTTTGACTTCAAGAAATTATGATTTATTTTTTTTGGTTTGGCATGGTGACTGTTTGTAGACCTGTGAACCCATGAGCCTTGAACACTAATGCACGCAAGAGATGCAAATTAGAGGAATTGTAACCTACAAAAAATTATACATGCTTTTGTAACGGGAGATTTAAAAAATGACACCAAAGCTGATGTATTATTCTAAAGTTGATACAAAAACAATAATTGAAGCAGCAGATTGTATTTTTTCTGGAAACGTTTTTGCTCAGTGCTAGGATATCCCTTGCTGAAATGCACTCTGGGAGTTGTAGTGCTTACTTCCACTTTTGATTATAGACTTAGATATGTTACACAGTTGCTAATCTTTTCTACTGATAATTGTGTCATTGCACTTTCTCTTGGAAAAAAAAAAAAAAAACTTCCCCTGAAACCGCCTTCCCCTTTGAAAGTGAAGTTAATTTATTGCTGGTCATTTTAATAGCCAAATATGTCACAGCTTCGTTAAACCAGCTTTTCATGGTTATTCTCATTTGCTAAAACCCTTTCACAGACACAAGCCAGTATTCTATTTTTAATGCTGGGTTATTTATTCAAGCCCCATGAAGTCCAAAGGATCTTGAGTGTCACTGTTATCATCACCTTTGTACCTATTGTCTGTCTTAAAGGTTGTTTTTCCTCCCTGGTGTTCTACCTCTGTGTTTACTCTGCTCCCCCCTCCTCCTCCTCCTCCTCCATGTGTATCTGCTCCAATGGTCTACAGACTTACGCAGTATGCACACACACCATAGCCAGTCAGTGATGACACTAATGGAGTGTTTAGCCAGGAGGACACAGACTTATTAACCAGTTGAGAGAATAGGCTAGATGGTAATCAAATAAAGCCGAGATAAGTTAATAAGCTGTATGTGTAATGGAGTGAGCTACACAGGCTTTATCTTGACTGACACCGCTCTTGTTTGCTGCTACTCAATGAGACACAAGAACTGTACTTTCATTGTGTTGAAGTCGAGATAATTTTTTATCTCTGTTTTATTTATCACACTCTTTATCCATATGGTTATTTTTAACTTGATGCTACAATTAGGCTTTTCCTTGCTTTGCCCGATCGTGTTTTTGTATCAGACATGTCAGTGGGACAATGTGACTGGGACCCCCTTTACGTAATCCAAACACAAGATTGTGGACCTGCTTTATCCTGCTCTCACAATGACCACATAGATGGATGGGACACTTTGCTGAAAGGAGATTAAAATCTATCCCGAAAAAGGAGGAAATGGGCAGGGAATGGAGGTGAGAAAGGTATTAGAGTGGAGAAATGGGAAAGAAAAATAGGGATGTGTGTCTAAAGAAGTGGAGGGTGAATGGAGGGAAGAAGCGGTATAAGAGAAGGAAGGATGATTAAGTGGGGCCCGTACGAGGGAGGAGGAGTAGAGAAAGGCAGTGGACAGGGCCCAATAGGGGGTAAATCTAAATCAGTAGCGCTCTATATCCTTCCTACCCCTGCTCCCCTCCCCCTTCAACATATCCATCATGTTAATATACATACAGCGTGGCCCTCTGGGTAATATATCTTTGACCTGTGATTACGCTAACAGCTTATTGTTTGCACACTGAACAATCCCATTATGTCGACGATCTGTTTACATACAGCCTTGCTGTTTAGATTAGTGTGGTGTGTGTGTGTGTGTGTGTGTGTGTGAGAGAGAGAGAGAGAGAGGGAGAAAGCGAAGTTGCATCTGTGTGCACGATCATACTTTCTGTATATGTACATATACATCATTGGATGTTTATGTTCGAGTGCTGACCCCAGTCAGGGTCAATGCCAGATAAAAACGCATATGCCGCCTGACTGTCAGGGCAGAACACCACAGCTCATGCATTCAAAAATACAGAAATACAAATCAACCTGTCACACACTGCCTGCAGTTGTGCAGAACCAGGGCTTTGTTTGATTTCTCGGAAAGTGGAAAGCCTTGAGGCTCAGAGAAGATCAGCACTCGCTCAGTGTCTTTCTTCCCACTACATGTGACGTCTCGTGTTTGAGTGATATCTTCATCCTTTCCTGCATTTAAAATCTTCTTCAACTAATCACTGCTAAGTCGTAAGTCCTCATTTCAAGTTTGTTTACTTGTTGACTGTAAATATGCTCATGTGGATGCTCAGACTGTTTGGGAATTCTATAAATTGGCTACACACAGTGGGGGCATACAACTTAAAAAAAGATTAAGTGCCTGAATTCTGCTCATATTAAACCTCTCCTGAAAATAAAAGGTACCTTGACTAGATTGTTATAATTTGAATTGTTTTAATCACATTTTTCTATTCTTAACATTTTTATTGAAGCTTTGCTCAGAAGAGAAGCTGTAGTGGTCAGGCTGTAAAGAATAGTGGAGAAAGAAGAGTAAAAAGTGTTAAGTCAGAAGCTGAATATCTGGCTGCCGAGTGAGGAGCTCATTAACACAGCTGACCTCAGACAGGACATCAAGTTGTGAAAGCCCAGAGAGCTGCATGACGGTGTAACTGTGTGAGGTCACAAGGTTACTGAGCTCCCTAAGCTAGATGCTGCTCAGGAAGAATATTCTGCAGGGGAGCAGACCAAGAGAAAACTTGAAAATAGGTGCAGCGCAACCTTCCATTTTTCAATCCAGTACCAGTTCCTATTTATTGTTTCTTCTGCGCCTTCCTTCCTTTCTCTGCTCTGCTCTCGGACTTCTCTGGCAGCATGTAGACTCATTGGGATGTGCAAATCCCTTTGACATAGGATGAATAGACAGTTGCTGGCAGGATGCCCCATGCCACTTTGTGTGCTGCCACTTAATTGGAGCGCCCCAGTTTGCCTCCCCCTCCTCTTTTCTGCTACCCACGCTCGCTGTGGCCAGGTTCTGTCTGACATCAAAGACCAGGTTACTGTATGTGCCCCTTCAAAGACTTTAAAACCTATCAGGGTGGCTGTTTGCTGAAGAGGCCTCATCACAACAGGAGTTGTTGCTGTAAAAACTATTTTACCATACTCAAAAGCAAAGTAAGGACATGTCATCTGACATTGGGATTCCCATTCTGATTGGGAAAGTCTATCCAACGACTAGCTGCACAGCTTTTTCTATGATTAATGGTCACGTTCCATCTATAAGTCAACATGCAGAGCACAGCATCTGAGACTATAAATAGTGGATATACTGTACATATATACAGCAACATATTCGAGTGGTGCTGTGTAGGATTTTTGGATCTGTATGCATGCGCTCATTTCTGTGAGTGTGTTTAAGTCAAAGTGAACTAGCGTTTGGTAAATTTCCCCAATGCCATGTGCACAGAGCTTCATTCTCCTCATGAGGCTCTAGAGACGTGAAGCACAGAAGTGGACTGTGGGGGACAGCAGGGAAGGCGAAGGGCCGCTGATAAGTCATGGTTTTCTTGGTGCACAGCACACGCTGAGAGGTAGAGGGTGCACAGAGGTGGAGATTAGGCATTAAACAACGTAGCAGTTTCCCTGTTGTCCATGCAAAGGTTTTCTGTCTTGGTTGGATGCTGTCTGTTCATTGGCTTGTCATGTTATCTTTCAGTCCATTTGGTTATCTCCATAGTCCATAGCAGATGGAGGTCAGAGTCCTCATGTCTACATTGCAATCAATGAGGTGTCGTCGGCCCAGGATCAGAGCACCATCTCAAACCATGGAAAAAAAAAAAGAAGTGGCCCACTCATGATGACAGCAGCTTTGCTACTGCAGTTTCAGCCCACTTACTGGGATGGGGAGGGATATTATTGCAACTTGAAAGAGTCAAAAGGACGATTTTAAGAGAAATCTAATGTAAAAAAAAAAAAAAAAAAAAGAAGAAATATTTATAACACTCATTGCTTGGGTTAGCTTTTCCTCTTCAGTTTGACAGCTATTTCCTGATGGAACTGATCGATGATACCAATGTAACTGCTGACTCTAGATTCTTGAATGGTATTGAAATAATAATATTGATAACTCTTGCCTTTATGCATCTATTTAGATTCACAGAAAAAAGTGTCCTGACACCTGGGTACATATTTCTTTAACTATGAGAAAACCAGCTCTTAAAACGTTTTAAAAGGTTGTTTGAAGTATCCACATCTTGAGGTTTGTGATCTACTGGGGAAGTGGTAAATATACACTATAGTCAGTTCCATGCTGTTGTCATCATTCGTCTCTATTTACATGTACTAATGCGGATATTAAAGAGGAAGACTAGGCTGTTTGGTAACGAGAATAAGAAGAATAGGAAGCACATCTTTTTACAATCCAAAGGGTAGAGAAATGATATTGGAAATTATAATTACATGTTCTCTGAGGAGGTAAGAATGATACTGACTTTATATGGAAAACACTGAACCATGAGTAATCTATGCACAGTCATGAACGTTGATGAAGTAGCTGAGAGCAACTTGTTATGTTTCCTATATAAGGAATACGAATAGGGATTTATTATGATCTATTTACAGAAGCATGCATCACTGATATTCCCACCAAAGAGAAAATAGTCCTTCCAGTGTATTTATCTGGCGTTTCAACCATCTCATAATTATGAGTCTGTCTCTTTTTTTTTTCTTCTTTTATGTTTTGTAGAAAAAAGCCGGAGGTAAAATATCAGGGAGGGAACCAGGAGTAGCAAGAGGCTGTCAAGAATTTCACTGTGAGAATTTTTGGTGGGGATTTCAGCGGGTCTCGTCTTTTGTTCTTCAGTGAAGTCATTTTTGAATGTTGTGCTTTGTAGGTGTCTTCGTGCGATTGGTCGGCCACTCTGATGTCATCGCTGCTCAGTCGTAAGGTTTATCTGTTAAAAGAAGCAGAAAGATGGAGGAAGGAGAAGAAAAGAGAGGAGAGAAAAAGAAGTCATTAGACAGTGAGTCAGGCCAGTATTCTCTCACATACTTTCATGGGTAGTGTCTCCATTCACACACATACCCACTCACACACACATGTACACACAGTGAGGCATTGAGTGAGGTCCACAATGCGAGCTATAACTCTGTACACCCGTCCAGTCTTTATGGTGACACAGAGTGAGTCACGGTCACTGTATTTGGGGGTTGGGCACTGCTCTGCTGTCACTGGTGCGAGAGTCAAAACAAAGGCAGAGTGACCACCCTGTGAGTGTACATGGCAAGCCCACTTGGCTCAGATTCAGAGTGACAGTGGCGTCAGCATGGGGGGTGACTCTTTAATCAGCTTCAATTAAGGCCAAAGACAGACAAGAAAATTCAGTGTGGATGAGTGTACTGCACGTCTACTTCTCTTTATTCAATCTCTTCATGTTTTACTCTTCTCGGAATACTTGTTTTTTTAGTCTCTTTTTTGTATCTAATGTACACAAAGTTTGTTAGAACCCCACTGCAGCCTAAGTAAGGATGATTCATGTAGCCAGAAGCAGCACTTTGTGGGTGGGCCATTAGACACAGAGATTCTCATGGAATTCAGCTACTATGTACTGGAGATCCAATTACATGACCCTCCTGTAAAGGTGCCCTGTCTGCACCCATTATAAATCACCATAAACAAAGCAAGTATTGACAATGCATTGCATACAATTAGAGTTCTACTCAAACCTAGTCTAGAAGTGTGTTGTTTATTTGCACAAGATGTTATAAATCCTACGCCTAACAGAATGCTTGTGTTCCCAAAGACGGATAAACCATGTGCAGCTTTTGTAAAATGTGATGAAAGATACTGTTCAGAATATAACTTTACTGTGAAGGAATTCCAAATATTAATTGGAATCAGGTTATTCATCATCATCATCAACCTTTATTTAAGTTCTCGGAGAGATCATTGAGGGCGACCCTCATTTACAATGATGCCGAGAAAACATACACAAATGATAAACAACGAAAATGAGATAAAGCTACTACAAATTACAAATTGAAATTACTACAGTGATAAGTCAGCAATTAAAATCAAATAAAACAGTTACAGTCAGGTATTGGGCGGTTAAAAATAATATTTCTAAAGTGTCCAAAAGGGATAAAAGTGCTCAAATTCAGGTCCTGTTGTATTATTGGTGGTCTCAGCATATAGTACAAATGAGAAGTTAATTTAGCTGAGTGTCTGTGTAGGTTCTCAGTCAATCAAAGCTTGATCCAAAAGACAACTGGGCTGGTTTAAGGCCTTAAATAACTCCAACCAGACCTTCAACCAAGTCCACTTGCCTTTTGGATCAAACCTTGAATGTAGCGTTGGTTTCATTATTGAAGTAAATGGCGATTGATTATCTCTGTAAACCCTTTTTCTAATATGTTTAGGGTCTTTATTTTCAGTGCTTCAATACAGCATGATTTTATAAATACATTTTTAAAGCGTGCTATTTGTTATGGCTTGGCCACATCTGATTGACAAGCTGCTACCATGAATCTGTCAACCATGGTGGATGCAGCAAAACATAACAACAATATTGTCCAATATGGCACCTTCCAGTTCCAATCAAATCAAGAAGATTACAGCCAAAATGAGAACTCGTGCCTTCAAACAGGAGGTTTTTTTATGTCAAATTTGCTACTCCACTTTTTATATACCGTCTATGATCATCACACACAATGATACATGCAGTGGCGTTATTCATGTGACATTGTTTCTGTTTTCTACCACTTAGAGCATAAATCACTGCAAGCTATACGGTCTCAGTTTTGTCCACCGTTTACGCAGCAGCGAGCCATGTTCTATGAGCTAATATCCTCACAACTGAGATCACAGCCATTGCCCGGGGGCGTGCCATATCCACTCTGAGAGAACAGCAACAGTTGAGACTCCATCCCTTCAAGACTGCATGTGGTCCCAGGGTGTGTGATAACTGAGTATGTGATGGGAATGCAGGGCCATTTGGACCTCCAAAGCCAGGTGTTAGCACTTCAGCTCACTGCTTCATCAATAATTGACAGAGGCAAACCAATCAGAACAATTTGCTCCCCACAGCGAAGTGCTAGAGCAGCCTAACACCGGTGAATCATTAATGAGGCAATTAGCTGAAATGGTTAGACGGTTAGCCCTCCCTGGCAGCGCTCCTGTGACGCTACGCTAAGCGACGAGTCTGCTTATTCAGGAGCAGCCGATGATGGAGTGAAGTACAGGCCAAGGCAGGCTAACAGGGGAGAGACAGAACTGAGCCTCCTTAAGGTTGGAGTGTAACTTGTATCAGTGATGCCAGCTCTCCATCTGTTGACCACCACTCAGAGGGCCAATAATGGGAACAAGCCCAATTGGCCATTACCATGGGAGATTGACCTTTATTGGTTGTTGTTACCATTGCACAGACCAACAGAAGCCGTCTCCCGGGTGATTCAAGTGTGGGAGAGCCTTTATGGACATGGATAAAATCGACCCCAGTGACATCACTCAAACATGGAAGGGGGAGAAGCAACAACAACAATAACAGCAAAGATGGAGTTTGCCTTTGAAGAGCAGAGATCCTGGATTGTTGTTTGAGAGGAAAATCAAAGCCCCCGGGGAGCTGCTCACAAAGCCCCATCGATCGACCATATTGGAACCATTTCATAGTTTATCGATGCTCCTCTGCCTGCTCTCTCAGCCCTGGGTCCAGTACAGGCTCAATTAAACCAGCAACCTTGATGTCAGGAACAAGCCATGCAAACTCGACACGCTGCACAGATTATTCCCAAATACACACACAGCCTACCCACTCCTATCTGAAGCTGATAATTTACACACTGTTTACTTTGTTTAGGCCGGATGAGATTAAAATTATATTGTTTACTTTTCCGCATTTACAGCTTTTCCTTGCAAAAACAAGCTTTAGTTTTTCGGCTTCCCAATCATCCTAATGCATTCTCAGTTTCAATATATCTTTGTGATGGAGGCATTTGGAGTGAGAGTGAAAAGAGCAACAGAAAGGGAGGGAGGGAGACTAAAGAGAGGAGGGGGGCTGATGCATACTAAACTCTTGAGGGTCGTTGCTGTAGTATTGCCTTATAGCAGGCCAGTCCCTGCAACAACTGTGTGCTGATTAGTTTTTCTGTATTTATGAAATACATTTATTTGACATATTTGCTTAATTTGTTGTAATTATACTCTGCTAAAATGCTAAATCTCAGACCTTCATGTTGTGTTTGAAGGGATCACATAATGCTTTTTAGGGTTTTATGGGTTCACTGAGGATCATTTCTTTTAAATGTAAAATGTGTGCTGAGCAGAAAACAAATAGAAAAACACTCTCTCTTTATCCATCCACTTTTTGTAGCTTGAAAAGAAAAACAGGGAGCCAGTGTATGATCCTTTGTTAAAAAAAGAAACACCGGTGTCAAATTAGCTTTGATGACTTATTTAAAGGCCAGTGGGAGATAAACGATTTGCGAAAGAGAACAGAAAATAGCTCAAGTGATCTGCTCCATTATTGCCCTCATTTGAACACTCTCGAGCTCGATTTCCTGCAAAGTCTGAAAGATTCCCTCCGGTGTGATGGTAGGTCACGCTTCACAAAGCAATCTGTCCTGGAAATAATTTATTAAGCTGATAGAGGGCAGTTCACAGGAGCTCCAGAACGTAGATAATAGTTACATTTAGATGTTTTTCATCCTAAGAAGTCTGTGTCAATTTATATTATCACATCATATTTTGGTATCAACGCTCTGAAGATCAATCAGGCCTGCTGGTCTATTAAAGCCTGTGGAAAAGGTCTTAAACCAGATTATGAGATCTGCCAATTATGGTAAAAATTGTAACATTGAATACCACCTGGAAAGTTCAACTCAGTGTAAAAAAAAAAAAATAAAAAAAAGCAAAATGAAGTGGCTATAAAAGATTGTCTTGCTAATTCTTTGAAAAGAACAGGGAGTAAATGTAATTGATTAGCCGCTGGGTCAACCTCTGTTGCTGTTATTGACACTTGTGCAGATATTGTAGACAGATAGCCTCTGTTTAATGATTGCCATTCACTTTTATGGCCCTCTCAGGATACCATCCTCAATAAATATTTGCAAACAGGAAATTTGCCGCGTGACTTGAGAGAGCTATAACCCTGTCCTGCGATGTGTTTTGAGATTAACATGTAATTAAAATAGTAAATCAATATTTATTAAGCAGTAATATACAACAAATGAGAAACCTAATCAGGTCATATAATGAGTCGCTGCATGGAGGAGGGCCCTTTAAAGAAACATTACATATATGAGCAGATTAGATACCTGCAAAATGGCTTTAATAAAAATCAATCAGGCACTCTGTTAATCACTTTGAATACATAAGAGTGTTCATTACTCGTTCAGAAATGCAGGTGGAGGGGCTCTGGTGGCGCAGTGGTTAGTGCACATGCTCCATGATCAGACGCTGTCGTCATTCAAGCGGGCGGCCCAGGTTTGAATCCGACCTGTGGCTCCTACCCGCATGTCATTCCCCTACCTCTCTCTCCCTGATTTCCATCTCTATCCACTGTCCTGTCTCTCGACACAAGGCACAAAAAGTCAAAAAAGAAATCTTAAAAAAAGAAAATGCAGGTAAAGACCCCTGAGACCCCTTCACTTCCCTTTAACACATTTAGCATTTAAGACTTTTAAGCTAATAGAAGCTTCAGCTGCAGAGAACCCCCCCCCCCCCCCCCACACACACACACACACACACACACCTCTGAACTCATCAAAGAGGCCCTGCTGTCCAGACTTTCCACATCCAGTGATGTATGACAAAGAGACGATGTTAAAAGCTTAATGGACCGCTCCTCTTATTGTTTAAAAATTGCTCGACTTATAAATGGCCAACGAAAACATTGCTTGGCCTCAATTATGCATTGAAAATAAAGTTATGAGCCGGTGGCTGAATTATTGATGCTGG